TGGGTTCATCTTCCCAAAGGAATGATTTGGGACTAGATAATACATCGTATCAGTGTATTGCTCTGCTTTTACATCAGTAAACAGATGTCATTGAATCTAGTAGAGCGTGATGTTGGTTTAACGTGTAAACTGCATTATCTTGACAGCGATTGGGACGAGATGGGATGGGGTTTAACGTAGCGTTCAAGGTTAAAGCGACGTGGAAGGGTCACGATGTTCCAGAGAACACACATAGAGGTGTTTAACCGTAAACCATAAGCAGGGGAATTCAAACCCACGACCATAGTGATCTAGCACTCTGTGTAGTAGTATGTGGAAGTAGTAGTAGTAGTAGTAGTGGTGGTGTTGCTGGCAGTAGTAGTCGTCGTCGTAGTAGTAGCAGCAGTAGTCGTCGCCGTCGTCGTCGTCGTCGTTAGTAGTAGTAGTAGTTCGTTGTTTAACGCCGCGCATTTATATTGCGGCAGTCTGTGAATAATCGAGTCTGGAACAAACAAAGTAGTAGTAGTAGTAGTAGCAGCAGCAGCAGCAGCAGCAGTAGTAGTAGTAGTAGTAGTAGTAGTAGTAGCAGCAGCAGCAGTAGCAGTAGTAGTAGTAGTAGTAGTAGGTGGTGGTGTCGTTGGTTTAGGTAGCGTTTGTGTTGGTTGTGTTTGAGGTAAATAGATTCTATCAATTATCTAGCGCAATACTATTTTGATATTCATGCTCATCGCCTTGATGCTCATCGCCTTGATAGCATTTGTAATCAACACAGAAGCCATGTAATCTTATAATAAGATGAGACCGTCATATTGGGATGCGTCCGCTGCGACATGATGGCACAATCCATATATGATACAATGCAGCTCCACGTCATAACACCCAACTGACATGAGTTTCCTCAACGTGCATCTTGCAGTAGCTTCTTGCTTCAGCAGAAAAACTACGCGGGTCGATCAAAAAGTATTCAGCCTAACTATACTCTCGATGTCCAATGAAAGCTTCCATTTTATTTTGAAGGAATCATTAACAAATGCATATCCAAAATGTCACAAACATGTATGTGGGTAATGTGGTTAACGAGATATTAGTCATCACAACACATTGGGGTATAATATTTCTAACAAAATTGCAGAAAATGAAAAACGATCTGGCATTTGGTACCCTTGGGTAATAGGAGACCCTCAGATAATATCATATAAAATATGTTCAGTAAAGTATTGGATGACTTTCCGTCATAATCAACAGTCAAAGATTTGGATTGATTGATTTATATTTAATCGGGGGCTGTTTTCTAAGGACATCCCCATTTTAATCTTTCAAAAACATTGTGTTCATATATTCATCCTGGCACTGTTTACAATATATTGTGAGCTAACACTTGTGTGACAATTCAGTATTTACTTTGAACCCTTGGCATCATGTATGGATAAGTAGAAACATTAGAATAAGCTATGTTCTTATGATTACATGTACGTCATCTGAAAGGGGGATGGGTAGTGTCTCCAAGACAGGCTCCTTCAGTAAACATGAAGGGGGGAGTCACTTTAAAAAGAGATTTTGGTTTCAAATTTCTTTTTTAATACACTTTAATATCTAAGTTTGATTCTAGCGGACTTATATCTATCTGAAAAACACAAAATATTACTTCATATTTTGTTTCCTGAAGTTTGCGACGCATTTATTGCAGATTTTGCGTTTTTTGAGGGTACCAAGATAAAAGGTCAAACAAAATGGGGATCGTGAGACTGGAACATAGCAAAACCAGTTTGCCTGAGGTTGACAGATAATAAGTATGTAGTAAAACACAACATAAAAACAGCTGCATTTGTATCATTTTCTGGGTGAGGCTGAGTACCTTTTGATCGACCGTGGTACACCTGTCAGTTTCAGCTCCATAAGGCAATGTCATCAGCTTCACCCTGCGGACATTGTCTTCGACTCTTCACCTTAGCTAGCCGAATGCTTGACATATAGAATACAATATAAAGTTTAGAGTGGTAAGTGTTCTTTTCATATGATGAACTTAAACACAGATCTTTTTACTTTTAATGCGTGTTGGTCTTCAGTTCCATGGAATATGGACCTCCTTAGCTTCTAACAATTTCCAGTTTTACACACTGCCTGCAAATATATGTCTTCCTTATTAGGTATATTGATGTTGTCGGTTCTCATAAAAGTGAGATCGTGCAGAATGCCTTTCTTACTGTATTGGTCCTCAGTTCTTAAGATAAAACTCATTCCATCCTACGACTTACTGCCTCCGTGTGACCTTAACCTACGAAAATTTACAACAAACTTCATGCACAACGTTTTCACTGGGTTGCGTACTGCAATATGGACTATTGGTGCCCCTTTTATATAGAATACTTAATACTTCTGAAGAAGTGCAGAAGACACCTCTTTTCGCCGTTCTACATGTCACGATTCGGGCAAAATGACAGATTGGGAGCTACAAGTATGCCTGAATTCAGTACCTCGTAACATGACGTTGCTCGTCGATTCAACGTCGATTCACCGTCGCCACATAATGGACCGATGGATTCGATCCACGCACCTCCGACACAGGTTCCAGTCAGCAACCCGTACAGCCTGTACCATACCTGGCCACAGAGGTGAACTGGCAAGAACAGTTCGAAGGCGTCTACGAAATCCATGCAAGACTCCAAGCTCGAGGGCCAATTCTGACGCCAGAACGTCGACGTCTACGTCGCCAGTTGAGCAGACAACACTTCTCGTCACCGGGCCAGACATTTCAACGCTCATCAGAGCACCATATATCGCCTTTGGGATCGTTTCCTGTAGACCAATTCCGCCCAAGATCGCTCGAGAAGCGGCCGTCCAAGAATTACAACCCAAGCCCAGGATGGAAGACAGCGTGTTTACCGCCAGCGAAATGAACGTTTTGCCCCAAACTGCATTCGACATGTCGACAGATTCGGTGAAGAAAGTGTTATGGAGTGGGATACCATATCCAGCACACAAAGATCTGATTAAGTGGTGGTTCAGAGGCATTTTTATACATGTTATACATGCTCTAATTATTTTATAAAGAGCACTGCATTTAAAAGAGCGGTTGATCTCCAATTTTTCAGCTGAGTTCAAAGTACTGACTTTGACGCCATCTTGTAGACAATAAAGGTTGCTGTTGTGTTGGCGAACTCATTGTCTATAGACGTGTGAATTTTCACCTTCTTACCATTGACTGATTGACTGACTGAGTTTGGTTTTACGCCGCTTTTAGCAATATTCCAGCAACATTACGGCGGGGGGACACCAGAAATGGGCTTCACACATTGTACCCATGTGGGGATTCGAACCCGGGTCTTCGGCGTGACGAGCCAACGCTTTAACCATTAGGCTACCCCACCGCCCCTCTTACCATTGAAATGACATGAAATAATTGCTCTTAAACTGTCGCAATACATTCTTCTAAAAATGGCTTATGCGTTTCTACTTTTTGAAGAGTGTAAAACCTGATTTTGCACAACAAAAAGGGAATGATGCGCACTGACGTGCGTGGGTGACATTCTTTCGAAAATAGAACAATCTTCTCAGATATTCTGAAATATGACAAGTGACAACCATGTCTGTATACTTTAAAAGTTTTAGAAGTTAGTTTGTAATCATCTTCTCATTAATAAGATACTACCTTGTGTATGTAACGTTATATACAGGTAAAGCACGTCCGGAACTAAATACCTGACACTTAAGCTGTTTGAAATATCGCAACGCGTCTGCTTGCCATCAGAGAAATACTCATTAAATACATTAAAATGTCATTAGTTTTACAATAAAAGTAGTCCGGAGACGTGTCATCAAAAAATATTACATTAGTCGGTTAGGGTATCTGTGGATTTCATGAAGTTTTGGCTGTATTTTGAGATACAAGACTTTATTGAAACAGACAAATGATATAGTACTGAAGAGGAACATACGTATTAACAAAAATCGACTCTTATCAACGGCAGCGTACTTTTATTTTAAAATCGTGAAATTCAATGCATACCAGTACTCAGGAACACTTTCTAACTTTTGCTTGCTCGACTTCGTAACTTGGCGCCGTTCTATGCTTTAAGATTGACGTAGGACAGTCGACCCCCAACATTGGCTCTGTAGCCAATTACCTTGTGTCTATGTAAGTGAGCTTAGTTTCACGCTGCACTCGGCAATATTCCAGCTATACGGCGGCGGTCTGTAAATAATCGAGTCTGGACCACACAATCCAGTGATCAACAGCATGAGCATCGATCTACGCAATTGGGATACGATGACATGCGCCAACCAAGTCAGCGAGCCTGACCACCCGATCCCGTTACTTGTCTCTTACGAAAAAGTCATTCTAAGCCGGATTTTCGCGGGTATTGTGTCAATATGAGGTGCCTGGTTTGGCGGTGATTTGTATTGTAGCGATGAAAAGATATTCTCCAAATGTCTTAGTCAAAGCAAAGCCCTATAGCCTCACATTCATATTAGCATCATCTTGAAATCAGTTATCAGACGTTGGTACTTCTATAAAAAATATATATACGTATTTGAGGTAGGAAAAACACATTATATGTGATTGCGGTTCTATGGCGCAGTGGGCAAGTTTGCAAGTATTTATGACAGTGTGAGCAAGTCTGAGACAAAAAATATATTATGAATTATGTACCATGTTGTTGGTATATTATGCACGCAATTAGCAAAGCCATTTAAGCTCCCTAAATACGGCAGAAAATATTGAGACGTTTACAGCTAACATGTTTTAACTTCGAGACGGATATAACTAACTATTTTTCGGACCAATTCATTCAGTGAATTTGTAGGCGAAAAGAAAAGACGAACCTCGGTTAAAACAAATATCCCTTTGAGTTATTTATAACCCTAGTTTAATGTGTATAATAATAAATACCTAAAAGGGTTATATGAATAATGATCATATGTATGTTGTGGTAAGTCAACTAATGCGCGAGAGTTCTTTATTACAGCATTTAGCATTTAGTAAGTACAACAAATTTCCTTTTGTTTCATAGGTTCTCGAAATGAACGTGACTGACACCACAGTGCCATCGAGGGGACGGCCATACGCCAACTTCACCAGCATCCCATATCCGGAACCTCCTGACCACCTTCTGGTGGCAACCACGGCATTCTATGTCATCATCTTCCTGTTGGGCATAGGCGGGAATCTGCTCGTGCTGCTCGTCTTCCTGTCCTGTCGCTCTCTGCGCACCTTCATCAACTTCCTGTTCCTGAACCTGTGTCTGGCTGACTTCCTTGTGCTGTTGATCAGCGGACCTACTGCGGTGTTGGACATTTACGCCATGGAGGTGTGGTACCTGGGAGGTGTCATGTGTACGTAACTCACTTTTTATATCTCATTAACGTCACAACTCAGTTTTCCCTACCGCTAAACGAAGACCTGAGGACGTTCGCTACAGGTCACGTCAGAAACATTTCGACCAATCAGATCATCGATTTCCAGGTCGGGAAAGTGGCATTCGGAATGTGCTTTCTGATCATGCAACCTCGAAAAGGTTAACACGGCGACGCGGCATATCTCGTTTAACTGTATTATTTTTAAAAAGAGACTACCTCTAAACCATTGGAAAGTGCTGCAAACAATATCATTCAGTTTTACTTTTTTCAAATTTTATCGATGTTTTTTTTTCAAAACGAAATCTGGAATAAAACTCGCTCGTTGTTAACTTCGACTGGAATCCTCAACAACTTTGCGTTTTGACTGGCTTTTGTCGACTTTTTGCTACTCATTTCATTGACCGCGAAACGTCGGTCTGAGGTGACGAGTATTGAGACATTTGTTAGGTATATGTACGAAATTGTGGCGAAGTTCAAGCGACTTACTTAAATACTTTCGAGATATCCGATGTTCGACACAACCACAAAATGTATATTTAATAAGGAATACACAGGAACCAAGATTTTGCTTCGAGACAACCATAATTAAGGTCTAGGAAATTGTCTAGAGAATGCCCCTGAACAGTATTCAGGTTATGTTGCGTGTCAGCATGATGCGAAATATTGATATAAAACGTCAGTGCAAAAGAATACCCAATCATGCGTGAGTGAGTGAGTTTAGTTTTACGCCGCACTCAGCAATATTCCAGCTATATGGCGACGGTCTGTAAATAATCGAGTCTGGTCCAGACAATCCAGTGATCAACAGCATGAGCATCGATCTGCGGAATTGGGAACCGATGACATGTGTCAATCAAGTCAGCGAGCCTGACCACCTTCACGGGTCTCCCCAATCATGACTACCTTCAGAAACAAATAGCTGTGAAAATTACATGAATAGATCATTGAAAAACTGTGATGACACCAGGTGTTCGTGAAACGGGAAAGCCCCAACTGATGCAGGCCTTTCACATTAACACTTTTTTTTAACCCCGGACATGTGAAGCCGGATATGGTGTTCCAGAACCTGGGTAAACAGGGATTCGAACTGATGATCTTTTTCTGTAACACAGATACTAAATTGACAGTCAAAAGAAGTTTTGGTGGTGGCTGTAGCTATAGGAAAGGTGAAATGGTACTTAGGCGGATCCAGAGATGGGGGAGGTGGTTTGTTTGTGCAGGGGTCACACACACACACACACACACACACACACACACACACACACACACACACACACACACACACACACACACACACACAACGTTTCTCAAAAAGCTGCATCCGCCCCTCTGGTATATTTCCCTGTTATCCTTGAAGGTCGCTGGAATATTTCCGGCCTGTAGCGCAATGTGGAGGGGTTTATTTAACTCAGCTAACTGCCAAGAGGCTTTGTACTGAGTGAATCAATTCAAAAATATGTTCATTCTACAATGATAGCCATGGAATCAAGAATACAGGGTTGCAATCGCCATCTTGATTTATAATAATCCAACTGTCGCCTAGAAAACTAATTTTAACGGATCGGTTTCATTATTCGGTTCGTTTATTGCGAACTACAGAACTACAGAACCGAGGGCGATAAAACGGGGATCACTTATGTTTGGCTATGATATCTGGTTTTTGACCACCTTAACAAATATAAGGAACCTACCAAGCTAGGGCAATTATGTTTCCGAAGACAATTAAAACCAATAATTTCAAAATGTTATCCTTAAAAATAAACTTGGATATGGATGTTCTGAATCCATACTATAAATAGGATGTTACGCCTATCGCTCTCTTTCAAGTGTATATTTTCATGTACCCTGTATTTTGTTTCATTTTCGGAAAAAACACCACTCGTATTTGCCTTCTTTAGCATGTCAGTTTACTCTAAACGATTTTTACCAAAAAATGTTATACCAACGAAACGTTTGTTTCCCATTCCACGAATAGCGTCCCGTTCAATAAAAGGATTTTAGTGCTAAATTACAGTAGAACGTACTGGTCATCCTTTAATGTATACATATGGCTAGCTATAGTAAGAAAGATCAGAAAGGACGTTTCGACTCTTTCAATGAAAGCGTTTGTAATGGACCTCGTGGACTCAAACTGCCATGGACCAATCATAGTGACAACACTCCTTCCATAATGGCGCCATGACAGTCACAATTTCTTATTGTGTTGTTCAGAGAGTTTAAGATCAAAAACTCATCATTAAATTAGACACTAGTGGACATAAGAAACCGTCAATGCAAGTACGATAATAAACTCCATTAAAACAAAACAAACAACGAGAAACACAATAATCTATCACATTACTACGCGTCACATATCATTCTGACCTTTCTCTAAAGATTCGGAATTTGATCATAGAGAAACATTAAAACCGATGATGATACCGGTTGTGTGCGGCTTAAGTCTATTACAAAAGATTTCATCGTTGGATGTTGCAATAATCAATTAATAGCAAAACAGAACCAAACACCCCAACTCAACAAGTATTCATTATATGTTATGTCTTAGGAACCGCAATGTCGCTATGACAAACCTGCACAGCGATTTCTGGCATCATAGAAAACTAGACAAAACTCTTCTGCTAAAGCTGGAACCTCTACAACCTTGTGTAATGCACAATGCATATTCTGTAACGAAGTTCCAAATGTTTGATTATATCATTCTGTATTGATGTACTAAACATACCTGTCCGTTTCTTTCTTATGACATATACCAGTAGGGATATCTCTAATACGACGAAATTGGTTTTCTTTGCAGGCAAAACAGTGCCTTTTGTAGAGAACATGGTAGCCAACGCTTCCATCTTGTCTATCCTCGCTGTCAGCATCGAGCGGTATCGTGTCGCCAGTCGCCCCCTTAGTCAACACGGCGGGAGCTGCAACGCTGCTGTTAAGACAATGGTGATGATCTGGGTCATCTCAGCGACAGTGGCGTCTCCAATTCTGTTCATAACCAAGTACAAAAGTGCCCTACTCCTGGATGGAACTTCCGTCAAAGTCTGCAAAACAACGTTACATCTCTCATGGCATAAAATATATGTTCTGTTATCGACAGTGCTCTTCTTTCTCATTCCTTTTGTTGTCCTGGTGTTTTTGTACTCGAAAATGTGTCTGCGGGTTCTATCGTCCAGGAGGAGTAGTATGGAGGAGATCCCTGCTCAGACGAAGGAGGTGAACCGTCTGAAGAAGCAGCTTCTCCTTATTGTCTTAACTGTGGTGCTGGCCTTCTTCCTCTGCCAAACACCATACCGTGCCATTGTTTTATGGATGCTTTTCGATACAACAAAAAGTGTTCGCAATCTTGGTTTCGTCGGTTATTTAAGTTTGATCTACTTCACCAGGATTCTTCTTTACTTGAACCATGCGATAAATCCCTTTTTGTACAACTTCGTGTCCAGGAAATTTCGACGTGCCTTAACCTCAATTTGTTGTAGGACATTGCGAAGGAAATCTTTTAATGACTTTCGTGAAGGACGGAATAGGAACTTTGCCGTTGAGATACAAAACAGACTCAGGTGTGGGCAGTTGCGGAGTCTGGAGCAAAGGAATTGCCTTTCACCACGCCACCGACATCGGCATCGTCAAAATGACTTTTTGATGTTGTATGAAAACCTTATTGAATGACATTTTAAAATGACATGTTTGCGCTTCTGTTTTCACGAAATTGGCAAGAGGCTTCTGCCGTTGTTTGTTTTTTGAAGACGTGTCAATTATGTTAATCTGTGATAGTGTTCTGTCAATTATGTTAATCTGTGATAGTGTTCGAGTTAGCATAACTGCCTACAAAACTGATGCTGGATGTCCAACAGTCGAACCAATTGCCGCGGGTAACGTTTTTTGTTTTAGGGGCGGTTTGGTAGCCATGAGGTTAAAGCGTTCGCTCGTCATACCAAAGACCCAGGTTCGATTCCCCCATAGGTACAATGTGTGAAGCCCATTTCTGGTGTCCCGCGCTGTGATATTGCTGGAATATTGCTAAAAGCAGCTTAAAACTAAACTCACTCACTCACTCAGTATTATGTTTCAAAGAGAACGCTTATGTCACACTTACGTCTATTTGGTCTTTTTTAAGGGACTTTGATATGGCACACAGATCCACTCACTGTATTAAACATCGTTTTAATTAACTGAGTGATACAGATTCGAAAAAATAGTGTATACTCTACAGAGTTACATCCGCATGATACGCAGCACTGGAGATGAAAACTTTTGTTACATCTTATTTGATTAAAAACAAAAACAACATTTCTCTGAAAGCCAGAACATGTTTTTTCTCAAGTTACCTGTAAAGAGAATAATTATCTTGCCGGGAAACATGAGCGGTTTTAAAAATCCTAGACACCCTTCTACGGCCACATAACATAAAACAAATTTAATCATTCATGTCCTTGGTTATCTACACGATATAACGGGGACAACCAGTTAGAGATACTAACCGACGACCTTTTTATTAACAGATTGTGTTCAGAACTTGATTAAAGGTATTTATAAAACGAAATACGAATTTGTTATTCCCATAATGTGTTGATTGTGTTTGGATAGGTCATAAAAATCCATCCGAACTGTGACCAGAAGAAAGTATACACTAGAAGGTTGGATTTGAACAAAGTACCAGTAATACAAACGTTTTAAGACAGTAGGCGCCGAAATACCTTAAACTTACGGTCCAAACGCAGCTACGATACCTGTTCCATATACTTCGCAGACTAACCATTGTTGCTTTTATTCCAGTCACTATTAAACAGACCCGAGACGATCCGGGATAGAATTGATCATCAGTAACCCATGCTTGTCGTAACGGGCGAAAAAAAGGGGATCGGGTGGTCAGTCTGGTTGACTTGGTTGACACATGTCATCGTATCCCAGTTGCGATTCTCATGCTGTTGATCACTAGATTGTCTGGTCTAGACTCGATTATTTACAGACCACCGCCAAACAGCTGGAATATTGCTGAGTGCGGCGTAAAACTAAACTCACTCACTCACATCAAGCATGGATGTATACCATTTGCCGTTGCTGTGATACAAAGTATCGTTCCATGTCGTGCTGTACTTCAAAGTATCATTCAAGATATTTTATTTCTGTTTCAGAATTTCTATTACAAGGTATTTAAAAGTGAAATACAAATTCTTTATTACTTCGATGTGTTTGGATAGGTCATAAAAATAAAAAAAATACAAGGTAATATAAGACAGTAGGCGCCGAAATACTTCAAACTTACGGCGCAAAACGCAGCTACGATACCTGTTCTAAATACTTCCGTTACTAACCACTGTTGGTTCTCTTCTCGCCACTATCAAACATGGCGGTATACCATTTGCCGTTGTTGTGATACAGAGTATCGTGTTTTACTGCAAAGTATCCTTCAAGAGATGATGATCAGAATTGATAATCATGTTCATGATGTTTTAAAATTCTGTTGATATGTGACGTGAGGCTGAGGGAGCCATGATCACCTGACAAATTGTAACTTTAGAGACATGGTTTGCAGATAACATGAAAACCCACAAATCAATGACTACATATTACTTTCATTACCTGGAGATTTGGTTTAAGTAATTACATGATTGCTCTCACGTACCTGTACTTGTATTTCGATGTCATATTCAAGATTAAACGTTTCAGATTCGGATCTGTGGTATACCTGGAGGGTAATTTACAAGATTGTCGTATGTACGCTTCAAAATGTACAAAAGTGGATCGTCGAAAATACTGGAATAAATATTGACGTGAAAGATACAGCTTATTACGTTGTTAGTTACAGGGTGGGATCTACCAAACTGAAAACCTTCGAGCCCCAAGTGGGTACAGGTGGTCCAGTAGTCAAAGCCGACGCAATTAGCTATGTAGATTTGTGTACCCCTGAGAAAAAGAATCCCTGAATATTTCATGAATTGTTAGTACCAAACCCGTGATGAACATAAATATCCTGTTTGTTTCCATCTAACACACTTAACTTCCTTAGCAAAGTACATATTCTGGCATTTGTTGTCTATGTACAAATTCTAGTACTTATTTTAGTCGAGTTTATCCGTCTTCCAAACCCACTCTCCCCAAGTGCCAAAGTCAGCCTTAGTCACACTTCCTTAGCAGAGCCATTTGTTGTATATGTACAAATTCAAGTACTTTTTTTGATTGAGTCCCATCCGTGTTTTAAACACATTCTCCCAAAGTGAGACGACAACTTGCCCACACTCAATGACAGCGATCTAACACACATCCATTGGGGTGTCAAAAGAGCACTAAAAACTGAAAGTCCAGACGACTTTCTTTTTCTACGCCACATTGTGGATTAGAACGTCACCCAGATGGCATTCAACCAAAAAAAGTCTGATAGAATTTCTACTTTTTAAGGAAGGAAATAACAAAGAAATAATTTCAAAATTTCATGTAACAAAACATTATCATGCATGTTATACTGACACGTTTCCAGACATGATATACCTTTGTGCATTGATGCAATTGAGCAACAGATCTTATTCCAGTTATTTAAATGCATACACTCTCAGCCTCCTAAGAGAGTTGCGACATAATAACAAAACGCTTGAGTCTACAGGGTTGGCAAATGTAATAGAGAATTCTATTTTCATTTCAAAGTATCGGTTGTCGTAAATAGGCTGCATTGGCTATAATGTAACACGTTTAGACCGCACATTGCAGTAAATAGGCTGCATTCAGTACAACCTGAAATTATTGAGAATTTAAAGATTGTAATTTTTTTTTTTTTCACTCATTACTCACGTATTAAATGTGAATATTAGCAGAACATAACTCCAGATTCAAAGACAGGTGGACAGTTAGTATTTTGTCAAGTCACCATGCAGGCTTCAATGCGGCGGGGCATACTGCTGATCAAAGAAGTTAGAAAGTCGCTCCTTTTGTTCAGGTTTCATGATCAGTGATGGAATTCCTCGACTTTTCTGCCAACCCATTGCATGCAGACCTGTTCTAATTGTCTCCTTACAGACAGCCACAGTTCCTCTATCAATCATATCCAGCCTTAAGTTTTCTAATCTCCTTCGTTTGTTTTTAGAAACAAGAATACCAAGCCGCCTCCTGTCACCGACAGTTAAATTTCTGGGCCTACCTGCGCCTCCCTGGTGCTCAGTGCCATATCCATTTGCAATATTTTTCAAAACAAGATAAACAGTGGACAAAGGGATGCCTGTTCTACTTGAAATCACTTTAGCTGATCTGATGTCCTTGTTATAATACTCTAAAATCAACTTCCTCTTCTTTAAATCATCCATACTGAGGATCACTGAAAATGTCGTCTGCTAGCAAGTAAACAAAGGGGGATAACTCTTCACAAACTAATGAAAAAGGATTAACGGAGTTGTCTCTCTTGAATGAAACCAAGCCCTTGATAGCTGGTCAAGGTTGTTTATACTAGAAATCCAATTAAACATATTCCTAAAATTCTCAATAATTTCTGGTCATACTATATTTACTCCTAATGGCTATAATGTAACACGTTTAGACCCTACAATGCAGCTCACCACTTCATTACATGTATTTCACGCCTTGCCAGTTTCTATATTTTTGCTTCTAATTGTACATTATCAGGTATGACAGTTTTGTTTAAAGTGTTTCACAAATGTTATCAATGCAAAATAGAGCAAACATTTGAGGGTCATTTGTGGTTTTTTCGGATTTTGTAGAATTATTGTCTGTTACGAAAATAGATTTTAGTTTAGTTTGAATCCTGGTGATATTTCGTAGTTTGTGCTGCTTCTGTGTGCAAGCACCTTTGGTTGGAACAGAAGTCCGCTGAATATTGTAATTTCAGATTACAGGATCACAAAGGTTATTGTAGTTCAAAGAAAGATGCCAAAGAGGTACTCAGATACATTGAATTTACCTTACAGGGCGGTTGGGTAGCGAAGTGGTTCTGTCGTCTCAACAAAGACCCAGGTTCGATTCCCCACATAGTCACAAAGTTTGAAGGCCATTTCTGGTGCCCATCACATAGTGCCACATGCCACGTACAATAATACTCACTCTTTCACTATGTTACCAGAAAATGAGACAATAACGCATTTGATGGGACAAACTTCAGAACCCTCACCTTCACGCTTGGTCACCAATGCCAAATGAACGTTTGAGATGATCTATCTCATAAACAGAGGAACAGATCAGCACATCCAGAGCGTTCTGGACACTGTGCACCATAAACAGCAGCTTTGATGTGCGTAATAATCCAGATAATGACACTGACTATGTATGTCAACGACAGCTGTATATTGATCATCAAAGATTGGTAGAAGGTCAGCGAAGACCGGACCATCTGGGCATTAGGACAGAAATCGATCGCGTCTCAACGGGCATATTTGCAGGTGTTCTCACACCGAACACCTCATAGTAATCTTCAAGCTTTATTTGTTGTCAGTATTAGCGAGTACACTACCGGAGAAAAGAAACTACCCCCAATAGAGTATCATAGCTGTCTTTTGGACCTTCCAGTGTGGTTTCTGTTAAAATAGAAGTACTATCGATCATTTAGTGCGTTTAGAATCCTTTGTAAAACATGCCATTATTCAAAAACAACATGCAGTGTCGATTTTTTTCGATTTAGAAAAAGCATATGACACTACTTGGAAACATGGGATTTTAAGAGATTTACACGATTTTGGATTGCGAGGCCGTTTGCCTCAATTCATATCCAGGTCTTTAACTGACAGGC